TTTCTTTCTCTATCCACTTTGCTGCTGTAATATTGGAATTTCCCCATTGTGGGACTATTAAAGGAATATCTTATCTTAATAAGATAGCACTGGCATATATATATATATATATATATATACCTCAGTAGTCTTTAGTTCAGCATCATTCAGTGGAATACATAATTATATGCTTTAAAACAAAAATCTGATCACAATCACCATTTATTGTTTCTGCACTTGATAAAATTCTCATTTCAAGATAATGTGGTTACCAGAATACCAAGTAGGTTTTCACATACCAGGGATTTGTCTTGGTATATTGGTGCATAACAATAAACAGAGACACATAAGAATATATTTAAAGATGAAAGCAAGTACTGCAAGTCAAGAAGCATAAACAGAAAATTGACAATAACATGAATACATTTTATAAAGACAGTCAGAGAGACAATATGTGTGTTATTTTAAATGGAAAATATTGTTCAGGGAAAGTATTAATTATAAAGAATATTTGCAATGTGCAAGATAACTTCACTGCAGTGTGTAATGTAACATTTAGAGGGTGGATGGTTACATTCAGGCACAGCATCTAATCATATCTCAAACATATATTATGTCACTACTATGATTCTACTGAAAGCATCAAAATAGTACATATGACATGATACATAAGGTTAGACAAAAGTAAACCAAAAGCACCTGAAAATGTCCTGAGATGTCTTATATGTCCTCTGGTTGGCTGTTCCAAGAATGAGACCCACAATGACCACATTGTGCCTCTCAATACCTTTTAATTTCTTGCCTTTTTATCAGTCAGTACTAGGGAGTGTCGTATGCAAGTGTGTAAAAATCAGTAAATTTATTCTAAAACTTGAGGCAGTGTACTTCAGGATGGGAGTAAGGTGTGCTCTGTCTCTGTGGTCTTTGTTTCTACGTGAGTAGGGACCTTAACCAGTGATTTCTTTTGTCAACTGACCAATGTAGATACAATATACAATATAAAGTGTAAATAATATATGTAAAATGTATTAATAAAACCTTAATTTCCTCAGGTGCTGCTCTTCCATTCATCAGCCCTTACACAAAGTATTCTGCGATGATCAATTCAGCTGTGCCATACACCTACCCAGGTAAACACTGTTGATTTTACAGCAGGTTGTGTTTGAGTGACACAGCTCTGGATATTTCATTTCATTGTTTGATTGAATATTAAAGCTTCTTTTCTTTACTGTCCCAATGCAGTCCCTCTACGAGATGATGGAAACTTGCCTGATGTTCCCGCCCATCCACGTGAACCGAAAGGAAGGAACTTGGACTGGCTTAAAAACCTGTAACTTCACATTCTCGCAATCAACGCTCGTGCTGTTCCTCTTGTTCATATGTGTCTGCATATCTGCTCCACTTGTCCCACAATAAAGATGATCTATTTAATTCTACATTTGTCCGACATTGTTTGGTCTGGATACATTCAGTACATTTGGATTGAAAGCATGTTTTAATACGTTGTTACATTACATTTGTGTAATTTCCTCAGAACAAGGCTTAATATTGGAACTTAAATCTATATTAGAAATTGTACTATACTATAATTTGCCACACTTAGGCTGCTGAGATTTCAAGTTCTAGTTCTTTTAATATTCCAGTTTCTAAAAAACAAACATTTATTTAAAAAAGTTATAACAAAGTGCTGTTTTATTTTCTGTGAAGTAAAATGCATTTTAAATATGTAGGATACCTGAGTTTTCATAATTGAGCAAGAGCATGGTGGCAGACTTTGTGTAGGAAGTCAGACAATTAAAGGAACTTTGGATCTTCATTGGATCATTTTGCATCTGAAAATTACAATAGGTGTTTGCTTTTGGCCTGTGGCCCACCTTTTTGGCCCTCCAACAGACTTAAAATTATCTGAACTTCAGTTTTATAGATGTTCACCTGTAATCCTTTTGACTTTCTGTAAGACAGTCTGACTCGGTGTTTGTTTCATTTAACAGCAGATTATGAGTGTTTTTGCTTAAACACAACCCTTATCCTTCAGAAGAGGCTTAACTCTACAAACGCTGAAATCAGATTAACCCTGTTTACAAACAAATTCCTTGTTTCAAACCAGCATGATTCTACTTGAATGAGAAAGAAAGGTAGCAGGACGATAAGCGGAGCAGTACTGCGTGTTAATAAATGGCAAGATGGATTATTCAATAAGATATAACACAGAAACACTTCATAGGCTTAAACACCTGTGTTGTGTTTGTTCACAGACACTTTGGATATACCATAGCCATAACATTATGAGCACTGACAGGTGAAGTGAATCACACAGAATATCTGGTTATCATGGTACCTGGGCAGCACACTGAACAGTTTGTCTTCAAAGTTGATGGTTAGAGGCAGGAATAACTGGCAGCATATGAGGATTAGAGCGACTTGACAAGGCCACATTGTGATGGCTAGAGCAACTGGGTGCGAGGCATCTCTAGAAGCTGAGCTCTCTGTGGGATGTACGTGGGGAGTGAAGGCTGGCCCATGTGGTCCGATTCCAACAGACGAGCTACTGTAGCTCAAACTGCTGAACAAGTTAATGCTGGTTCTGATAGAAAGGTGTCAAAACACACAGGGCATCACAGTTTGTTGGTATGGGGCTGCATAACATTATGGCTGATTGGTGTATATAAATGTATAAATCTATAAATATCTATACATGTTTTAAAAGATAAACATACAAAGTAACGGTGAGCATTTTCTTTCATTGAACTTTATTTCACAACACGTCAATATGCAGTGTTTCAGGTAAAGAACGTCTTCCTCAGCAGTATCCATCATCATCATCATCATCATCATATGATATCTTCTGCAGTCACCAGGATTTCATGTCAATGCAATTCAGAGAACAGACTGTAAACAAGTCTGCTTACATTGGTTCATTTTTATTTATTTATTTTTTTTTACAGAACCAAGGTACTGTGTAAAATGGGTGTGCAATGTTAAAACTATTTCACTTTGGAACAAGAGTTTTGGACTTTGGATAAGTTCCTGTTTTTAGTGGCAGTGTTTTCTGCAAACCAATCAGTAGCCTTTTGAACATCTACACATACACTTTCTGTAAGCATGTACACTATCCTGTTGACTAGCTGTAAAGGCATCTATTCACTTCTGTTACACATTTATATTTTGAATAAACCTCCCATGTATTTTTTGCAACATATTTCACACCAAGATATATTTTTATGTTGTACATATACTATATTATTTCTCTGTATCAATCATTTCTACACCTTAATCTTTGCACACTTTTTCATGCACTCAAAGGGCAAAAGTATTTGTTTTCTAATATTTTTCACTGTCACTTTCACTCCAGATTTTATGGATCACTAATACACTACAACAGCCACCAGTTACTACGACTCAAATATGAATCAATATTCTAATTTTAAAACGCATTCAGACCTACAAAGGTTCTTTATTTTCACTGTGTCTCATTTTGTGTTCAGAGGTGGAGAGAAACGTTTCAATACCACGGCTGACAGATTTTCCGGTGCTTGAAGTTGAAGGATTCGTTAGATTCTACAAAGTCAAAATGTTCTTCCAAAGTGAAATATCATTACAAAAAGAAGTAAAATAAAAGTCATACAATCACATGTTTTTTACGCACTATTTACAAGCATGAATAAGCATTAACTCTATAATTCTGCAGACACCTTTATTAATGATGCCACACTACTCAAAGTAATAATATATGCTGTTAGGATTGATTTACTACAACCCTTGTGGGCAATATCTGAATCTTCAAGGTGCTAAAAGATCACAGAAACTCAATTACAACAGGAACATAAACCATTTCAGTTTGCACAGATACAAAGTTTCACCTTTAAACCAGTTTTCTAGAGGCGACTTCAGAGCTACAGAATATTACTTTGGATATCTCTAGTTTACCATGAACACTTGCTCAGACGTTGGTCAACTTCCCGTAAGCTTTCTTCATCACTTTCATAGAAACATTTCCCCATCAAAACTTAATTATATCGTCTGTCTTGGCTTTCACATCTCTCTCGAAGATTTTGCTCAGTTTGATTGGTAAACATACAACTACAATCAACTAGCCTGGATGTTGTCTAGCTTTAGATTTGGGACTGAAGAGGAATCAAGAAGACATCAAATCCAAAGACTAAGCACACAAATCTCATTCTTAACACTCTGAACCCTCCACAACCTGCTACCTTCTAAAAAAAACAAAACACTTCTTTCGATAATAACCCCGTCCAAACGTTCAACTATTAACTGTCACAGTTTTTGTCTGTGAAGCTCATAAGCTTTAGTTTCTTTGTTTTTGTAGGACTTGCTCTGTATTAAATAAGTATTCCACTGAGAAACCAACAAGTCTCATTGATCAATCATTTGAAAAATCTAATTTAAAGGTAGAATTTGTTTTTACAATGTATTTTTTTTTAGTCCAGGTAAAGAGTTAAACTAGTCCAAAAATCGACATTCATAAAATACTAATATGTAACTTTACAGCAGCAGAATGTGTCGTGCTCACTGGCATAAACATAAGATACAACTGACAGCATCGCCCGTGTTCAGTAATTTTAAGGAAATAATGACATAACAATAACTTGCTGTGCCAATTTCATATTAAAATATGCCAAGTCTCACTCAACCAAACAACCACGTTTTAAAATAGAAAAGATACTTTGAATAAATTTAAAAGTTTACTTTCTTTGAAACCAATAAAACGCAACAATCTGGCAGCTTTTCTAAAAAATATAATATCATAATAGCACTTTTAGAGTAGGAGCCTGTCCTCTTCCCATAACACTTCATTACAGTGAAAGTTACAGTTCTCAACCTGCTATTAGGATCCAGTCCCTAGATCAGCCGGACAAAGAAAACCTTTCTGTATATGGCACAAAAAAAGGTTATGTCGAGAAGAAATTGCATTGTAATACAGTATGAGACACAAGAGGCATCTTTCATAGGCAAGGAAAAACCTAAAAATGTTAGTTATTCTGGACAAGATACAGTGTGTCGATCTCAAACACTAAGCTAAATACAGCCAAACACCTTAATTCTGTTTAATAAACACTAGCCTAGATTTTATTTTAATGCCAGCGTTTCACTCAAACAGGATTCTCAGATATTATCTTGTTTCTATATTATCTGTTTTTCCTATTAACTACATTCAAATTTAATGGACTGTATTCATATTTTTTTAACAGATCAGCCTTTACACATTAACCTTTTATATTTATATTTTAAAATGTTCTATTCTTGCGCACAATCTGTATTTGATTAATTTGCAAAAAAGAACATTCAAAGTACAATTTAAAAGAATCAACATGCAATGGGCTGTTTCCAGGATTCAACCTGAGGTTTGATGGACTGACAAACCACAGAGAGCAGGATCGCTGCTGCTGTGGCAATAAAACGCTTACTCAATGATGGGAGCTGAGCGATCGTTGGTGACGGTTCTTCTGAGTCGGACGTGGGCAAATGGATTGAGCCTGAAAGGAGGAAACAATTGCTAAATGTTACACAGTTGACCTTTAAAAGGTCAGCATGCTCTGCTTATGCTGCGCTTGGGCACAGAAGTGCTTTAAGCTAAAAGCTAACAAGCTCACAATGATAATGCTAATATGCTCATGTTCAGAAGGTATAATGGTTAGCGTGTTCACCATCTTAGTTAGCACGTTAGCATGCTAACATTTCCTAATTGGCAGAAAATACAAAGTACAGTTGAGGGATCGTAATAGGGAAGTAATTCTGACTGATCCAAAGGGGAACGTGAACACAGGCAGAACATTTCATGGCAACCCATTAATTGATGATCTTCCACTTAAAAAACAAACAAACACATAGATGAATGCCGGTATAAAATTGCAACTCATCCAATAGTTGTTGAGATATTTAATTTTGGACCAAAGTGGTGGACTGACTGACAGCCCAACACCCACATCTTTCAAACTCAACGCTACCCAAGATTACACAAGTGTGACTAGTAAAGTGACATTGTGCCCCTTTAATGACACCTTTAAATTTACCTGTTTGGAGAGGGCGGTGGAGAGGCCAATTCTGAGGTGATCTGAAATTTAAAGGAGAATTTAATTTCCAATATTACAAAGATTCTGTATCTATATCTACCATTAACAGTGAGCATCAGTTTGAAGAACACATTGAGTCTACCTCTTGACCACTTCCTAAAGGTTTCATGTTTCTGACCTTGTTGCTGTCGGCCATGCTGTATGGGCGCGGGCGGAAGGTGCTGACCCTCTGGGGAGGAAGGGAGCGTTCCTCCTCTGATTCGGGGGTGAGGGCTGGGAAACCTGGAGACACCAGCTTGTCGAGCTGGCCCGTACTGGTGCTGTTAGCCTTAGATAAGAAGAGAGAGCTAAAGGGAAGGTCACAGACAGAGAGGAAAGAAAAAAGATAAAGGAAACATGGTGAAAGTTGAGACATGTTGGTTTTGTGTTAATTCATCAACAACGCTGTTGGTGTTGGAGAGTGAACTGAATGCGTTGGGAAAGGGCGGTGGAAAGACTGAGAGGGCAAACAGTAGGTATCATTCTGCAGTTTATGTACACTTTCCATGTGTTTGGCATGAAGGATGTTTGATTTATTGAGAAGACAGATGGAAAGGGAAGAGTGTCTGTGAATCAATCAACGTTATAACTTCCTACTTTTACTTAAGTATTGCTGATATGAAGTTGTAAAACAGCAGAAGGGAAGTAAAGGAAGTATTTCTGTCATTAACAGTGTCAAAGCTCATCAGACCTTCAGATTTCAGTGTTTGTTCTTCCTCCACTTACCTCTCGAGGTGATCCATCTTACTGTGGTGTGGCTGAGTGTAGGAGAAAGGGAACCAGCCTTTCCTGTGAAGGAAATTTTTACTATATGTGAATGAATAATAAAATGAGAGCTTCAAGCAGCAAGACTTGAAGAAAACACTTTTATATCATCTTATATGACTATATTTGTTAGCATGGGGCCACGGAGAAGCTTGCAGACAAATATTCCTACATGAGAAAGAAAAGGCTGTTCTGCTTACAGTAAGCTAGAAAGGAGCACAAGGTTGAGGGAAAGTGGTGTCCCTAACTTGTTTTGGTTAATGCCTGAATATAATCTTGACATTCGAGCCAGAACCAACTTCATTCAGCCTTGTCTTATGGCATTGAGTCTTCTAATGTTGTGCACTGTAGCAATGCCAAACATTACAAGGCCCTTTCAACATATACAGCACATCATTCAGTGGTTTTCTCCTGTGCTGCACATTTCAGTATCAATGTGTGATTTGAAAAACATACCGTCCAGTTCGTTCATTTTGACCATAGTGCCACCCGTCTCTGGGCTCAGAGATGAGCAGGGTGATGTCGTCACCAGGCAGGAAGTGCAGCAAGCAAGCTCCACCACCTACGCCACCGCCCTCCGATGCTCCAGGAGTGTGAGCAAACATGGCTTCCACACGTGCAGGTCCAGATAAAGGCAGCATCCTGGGGAGACTGGAGCCTAGGAAGAGGAGAAAGTAGAAAGTTATACATTTAAAAGGACTAGTGTGTAGGTTTTAGTGGCATGTAGCAATGAAGTTGCAGATTGCAACCATTTAATTACAACACAACCTTCCAAGCATGTAGGAGAAACTACATTGGCTGCAAAAGTCCAATGTAAAAAATCCTATTTAGAGCCAGTGTTTGGTTTATATGTTTCGGGGCTACTGTAGAAACATGGTGGTTCAACATGGAAGAGGATCCGCTCACCCAAAAAACAGGTTATTTCTAAGGTGATGAAAACACAACAGTTCTTTTTTTAGGTGATTGTTCACTAATGAAAAAATACCTGTGATTATTTGATTTTATTTCTGCCAATAGATTCTCCGATAGTGGTTTTTGAAAGAATTCTTCAAGTTTGTTTGGCTGCACTGTAAACGGATTCACCAGATGCCCTTCTGTTGTATTTCTGACAAAGTAGCTCCTCAGTGAGCGTTTGCTCCACACTTTCTGTTTCCCCAGTAACCATGGGTAAAATGTTAAGGATTACAACTTTAAAAATGGGGATGGAGACTTATCACATCTTACCCTGAAAGCCGCCCAGCCTCATTTCACTGACAGGTCTCCTTGGCAGTGGAAGTGTTGCTGTTGCACACATATCAGCGGTCTTCAGTAGCCAGGGATTATGTGAGGGTGATGAAGCGTTGCTCCCTCCCGGTCCCACCTGTTGGGGCAGTAACTGCACAGGAGTCATGGCCCTGGAGAGAGGAGCACTGTGGGGCAGTGGAGGACTGTGAGGAGCGCTGTGCGGGATAGGGAGGGTCATGCCCTGCAAGGAGCCGCTGGCCGGGGAGATCTGGCTGAGTGACATTACTGTGGAGGGGATGAGGCACGGGGAAAGGTTGGACGTGTTGGTGGCCAGGAGGAGAGAGCTTGGCTGGGCCGAGTTGCTGGATGTGGTGGGAGTGGATGCAGCAGGGCTGGCGCTGCCACTGGCGCTGCTGTCGGGGAGGGGGCTGGCCGATGCACTGAGGGGTGTGCTGGTGTGCTGAGGAGATGCTCCCCGTGATGAACCTCCAGCAGCTCCTCCAGTGGCGAGAGAGCGGAAAGTCTGGGGGGAGCCCTGAGGAGGACAGGATTCACTCTGGGAGGAGGAGGAGGGGAGCGAGCGTTGCTGCTGGGAGCGATTGGAGTCTCCATTCAACAGAGGAGGGACTTCTTGAACTGAAAGCCTCTGAAAAACAAAACAACAGATACTATTTAGTACCAGAAATCAGACGTAATAGTTGAAACTTAATATAATATATATGATATAATTATCAAAGTTTCAAAGTCAAGAATGTGGTGACTTTAGGCTCGAGAGCTTGACTTTAACACCAATGACTTGTAACTTCACTTGGACTTGATATCCTCTCAAACAAATCATATTTCAGATCACATAACAACTTAGAAAATATGGATCCACATTTTTATTAGCGTAGATGTTGTCTTGTAAAATCAATAACCAATCAGCAATGTCTTCTCTATGTATGTTTCACTGATGGGTGGGCAGCAGCAAAGTTAGCTTGTTGTCATTGTTCTTAGTTCTATAATGGCTAGTTTAGGACGCAAATAAAAAAGTTAAGGACTTGGGACTTGACTCAGGACTTCATAACCAAGACTTCAGAGTTACTTGCAACCTTCAAAACAATTACTTTGTCCCAGTCCCTGGAACAGCTAATAATGGACTTGTTTTGTGCTTGACCACCACCATACATGTCTGAGTTTATCAAGTGATGTTTCAAATATGTTCAACTCAAACCAAAGTACACATTTCAGCAAGTATAAACAAATATGATCCGACCTGCTCGGGCTGAGCAGAGCTGAGCTTGGTGTGGCGGAGGGCCTCAGCTATCCCAGCAGCCCCTGAGCTCTGAGGCGCAGTGTGACGCAGCAGATTCAGAGCGCGCTCTGGGAGTTTCGTGGGCTGAGAACACGACTGCTGCCAGGATGACAGTTTCTGTGACAGAAGCTCTCTCACCTGGATTACGTTCAAAAACACAAGAAAGAGAAAACCACAACACTGTTAAAAGGATGCTGGACTAATTCTAGTTTTTTAAACTAATCTCTGAAAAGACTAAAAATGTATTTACAATGAATAGGTCTAGACTCTCAGTACTTTCTAATTTCCCTTCCCTCTCAGCCCCAAACCCTTATCCCTACTGAAGACATAAATCTTTAGGTCAAACAAATTTAGCTTCATTTTTATAAAAAGTCGCAAAATTCCTTGTAATGAAGAAACAAAGTCAAACAAAAAAATAAAATAATAAACTAAAAGAGAAGAAAAATACACAGGGAGTGTTTTTAGTTTTAGTCTTTGTCAGTTTGTTCAAATGTGTCAACATGAGGAGGCATTTGGTGCCTATGAGATGGTGAGTCAGTGTGTTTGTATTTAATACCTGTTCTGAAAATTCCTCCATTTTATAATGAAACTTATAAAAAATTAACTAAAACTAAACATTTTTAAATAATAAAAACTAAACTGAAATGAGCAAAACCACTCCGGAAAGAAAATTTAAAATCAGTAAAAAAAAAAATAATGAAAAATACAAAACTATAACTACTCTACAATGAAGGTCTATGAGAGAGAAGAATAAGTTATATTTGGGTTTAATTACTCAGAGTTAGTAGGATATATTAATTGTTGATTGATAGTCAGGCCAGTAAGAGGACAGACTTATCCTTTAATTTTAACATCAACTGATCACCTTGGAGTGGTAGTTGATGAGCAGTTTGGTAACACAACACTGTCTGTCCACCAGGAAGCAATATCGTCTCCTTTCCTCAGTGAGCGCCGACTTGTAACCCGTGGCAACCAGTGCGTCCAGCTCGCCTTGGCGACGACTCATCAGCTCCACAAACTGAAGGAAAAAGTCAGAGAGAGATTTCACAGCACTACTTGAAACATCCTTAAACATGCACGTACAGTCCTGCGTTCACAGTCACGTGCGCGGTGCTCGAAGACGGAGCGACCTTTTAATGCACAATGTCAGGAGAGGGGAATATGTCATATCCTGCCTGCTGCACAATGATAACAAAAACCAAGTCATAAAACACTGTCCTTTGCCCCGGTGACCTTTTCTTCCAGCCCTCCCCCACCTCCCCTTTTGATTACTTACTTTCTCCAAGTGGCTAAGTCCTCTCACCCTGTTATATCATTCATATTCCTCCAGTAAAGACTTGTGCACTAAGTTGCTTGTTTTTCTGAAAGATCAGCTGAGGCAGATTGTTCTTTAATCTTATTCACACTGGACTATTTCTCGCACAAATGCTCACATAACTCGCTTTTAAATCTGCTGTAATGCTGAGTGAGACATTTAGGTCCGTGTGTTTGAAGGATTTTTGATTTCTCCGATGAAAGGAGGTCACTGTGTCGTTCTAACTTTAGCTCAAATGTTGGTGCGTTTTACTCGGGGCTTCACTTACCTGCATCTCTCTGTCTCCATATTTGTTGGGGTGACGACTGCCCTGGCTCTTCCTGCGGAGTTTCTTCAGCTGGGACTGGCAGCGCTCGATAGACTCAGATTTAGACCTCCGTTCACTCTGATACTTCTTTAGGGTGGCCTGAGAGGAAGTCAGAGGATTTATTTGATAAGTGTTGGATGAAACAAGGTTTGATATAACTAATATTTAAGATTTGAGCTATACAATATAAACTCACACTGCCTCATCTTCCAAACAAAGAGTTACACTAAACATTTCAAACTAAGCAAAAATCCTGCTTTTCTCACAATTGATCGAAAGTGAATGGACATTTTGTTGTCACCCTACTGAGTCTGAGACATTTCAGTCAACGTGTTAACTTACTGTGAGGTATTTAATATCCAGTTCCAGCTTCTGCTCCAACTGGGCGAGCAGCTCAGAGTGAAACAGCTTTAACTGTTGATGCAAACATCCATATACAGCATTTTAGAGAAAGTATACTAACTGACTCACTATAGAACTTTTTCAAAGCAGCCATTTTAACATGAAATAGTAGGGTAAACACAGGTGTTATTATTGATACTAATTAAGGCTCCGTTTCCATTTAGTGAAGCAAAGCCTTTCCAGTGAGAACATGCACAATAGCAGCACTCTGACACTGTTTGACCCGAATGGAACAGAAACTTAATTAGACAGAACTTAATTAGTCCTCCCAGGATTTCATTGGCTTTTATTGGGATTGAAGTGGCCCAAAATGACGGATTTCACAGCAGTTTTTCCCAACAATTGTGATGCATGTTGTGATGTTTTTAGGCTTTTTTTTGCAATGAAATTGTGGGGAAAGTAAAATTGATACAGGCAACTCATTCTGGTGAGAATAAAATCATTATTGGTGACGCATGGCTCAACATTTAGTGCGGGGGACTGTTATGATCGGTGAAACCTGTGAGAAACGACAATGATCGGTCAAAGTGGCGGAGAAGTTGTGGTGATCGGCCAAACGTGCAGAGTTCATAGGAAGTGGTTGAATTTGTGTTAACTGTTGTGATCGCAACATCACAACTTCCTGGAGGGACTGATTCGTATCATTGGTAACACCTGTGTTTTACCCTACGATTTCATGTCAAAATGGCTGCTGTGAAACAGGTCTATTAAAGGCTGCAACTGTCACTTCATAAAATTTTATGATATCATATAATATTTTTAAATGGTTGCTAAAAATCCTGAATATTTAATTTAATTATTTCCACGTACATGTCCTAAAAGTCTCGAAATGTATAATAAATTGTAATTTGAATAATAAATTCAGCAGTAACTGATCTTACCACATCTTCCAGCTGCACCTGAATCTGTCTGTGGACCTCGGCCATCTGAAACAGTGTGTCTCCTGTGAGGAGCAGTGAAGGCAATCAGTATTATGTGTTATTTAAACTTATTTTAAAAGCTACAGTGCATCTTTAATCTGAGCAGAAACTATCATATCATAAACTTTATCTGAGATCTGCGCTCTGATATTTCACAAAGGTAACGAGGATGACACACAAGTAAAAAACGGCATTAAACTTTCTGTTTTAACACATTTTCTCATGGACAAAGTGTTGGTCAGCTGTGAGTCCCTCCCTCGGTCACACAGCGCTGTAGTATGTGGTGGCTGGCATCTCGCCCTCCGACTCTCCTGCCTGCCTCCCCCGCTGTTTTCAGCATTACAATGAGATCATGTGGTGTTGTTAATCTCCCAACAATGACCCCACTCTCTCCCTTTCCCTCTGTTCTCTCTCCCTTTCTCTCTCTCTCTACATTTCCTCATTCCCTCGTCTTCATCTCCTCCCTCACCCAACACATGCAGCAGACTACTTGCAACTTCTCTCCAGCTGTCACGTCGACTCTCTTCACTTTATTAGGTGCCATTACCGATTTATTTGTATTTTCTCCTCTCTGCCAGACGCCCACTCACCCAGCTCTTTGGAGCCTTGGCTGTCGCTTGCTAGTTCTCCGAGTTTCACCAAAGCATCAAAGTACCCTTTGGCAGCCACAGTTACTCCTGAAGAAGAAGAAGCATTTTAGGGAATATGTCCTGTTCAGTCATTCAGGAATATAAGTTCACTAAACTCAGCTGAGAGGACAAATCCAAAGGCCTGTGTTTGACTAACCTGTCAGGGCTTTCTCGTAGTGTTTCCCCATGGTCACAAAATTCTTCAGACTGGGGTTGAACTGGTCCAGAATTCCCTGTTGGCAACGATACACACAAATAATGCTTCAAACCTTTCACTACACATAGTGCCGCGTACGATTGTGAATCATTAAAAGGTTCATTGTTGGGGAAGACCAACAGACAGGAGAGTCGTACCTTGTAGACATTTTCCGTCATCTTGTTGACCTCTTCTGTTCGAGACATTTCTCTTTCTCAGTTATGTCCTGCCACTACGTACTTTTGTTTCGTCTTATCCCCCTGTTCCTTGAGGCCCTAAGTTTTACAACAAACAGCAACCCCCTGAAAGAGAAAGGGCACAGTGCAAGTGTTAAATGTACCCCAAAAACCTGAGGAGGAAGCACAAATCCAGGTGTTTTTTACCTTCACCTCTGCAGAGCAAAGTAGAACGGAAACAATTAGTTGATTATTTGATTAGTCGATCGACAGGGAATCAATCAACCACTATTTTCATAATCGAAAGTGCCAAATGTTCACTGTTTATAGCTTCTAATATGTCAGAATCTGCTGCTTTTCTTTGCCATAAATACTAAATTGAACATATTTGGGTTTGAAGACTGCCACATCAGGCTCTAGGACATTATAATTGGCATTAAACTGGTGTTTTATAGACAAAACAATTCACCAATTAATCACAAAACTACGATAAGTGTCAGTTATTTGTGTTGGTCCATGTGTACAGAGAACCTCCCTTCGTCCCTGCTTTTAGGGAGTAACCACAAGATTTTAGATTAGCTAGAGGACTTTCAAGGCCATTGAACCATCACAACAAGTGATGAGGATGTCAGACCGTCTTGGGTTTTCTCTGAGGGCAGCAGTGTTATTTTCACATGGTTCTCGTCCGTGTTTCGGCTGCCAGTTTCGACAGTATCGCCCCGAAACATTACGGCAACCCAAATATTGCTTCTAGATTCGAGTGCCAGACGAGTTGTACCATTTCAGATAACAATGGGCTTCTCCAGTCTGAGTCACAGGTGTCAGAGCGCTGAATAAACACGCGACAACAATGTTTCCTCAGCAGAGAGGACGTTCAAGGGGGGACGGCTCTGGGGTCAAAGGATTTCCAGTCTGGATTTGATGGCAAAATGCTCGTTCTGTTTTCCCTGTGCAGCCCTCCTTTGTTATCACAGCGAGATTACAGAGAAAACGTTGACCCAGATCAACTAATGGTATATGACACAAAGAAAACATTTCCAGACTCTTGCTCATTAAGGCCACCCTGATGTAGTCTGTAGTTCGTCAGAGGAGCTGTAATAGTCTGCAGACTGAACAGTGGAGCTTTGCATTGACTTAATTTAGTTTGAAGAGCTTTATAAATGTACACGTTCTTTAAAATGGTGAACTAGATAAAGCATTTTGTGTGTGTGTGTATGTGTGTGTATTCTAGCTTTTAGTGTGGTTTAATTAAGAAATAAGAAATAAAGTGTTGCTTGTTTCAGGATGCAACAGGAACAGTCTGCAGGTGGTTGGGAAACTGATACAGAAGGTGCATTCATGTGGTTTGGCCTCTTTAAATTTCATCAGATGGTTTGGTTTAATGAACCATCTACATCAGTCTTTTACTGAGGCACATGCAAAATACCCCCCCCCCAAAAAAAAAAAAGTAAAACATGCAATAATATTACTGATAAGCTAACTACACAGTGGATGTTGTTTTTTTTATCCTGATTAAGAAAATGCATTCTGCCATTTGCCCACACAGTGCTGCAGCTGAATAACAGCTACCTGTTGATCTCAAACTCTCAGCTCCACTTCCATTTGTGAAACTCTAACAAATAAAAGCAGCTACTTAATAATTACAAAAAAGAGAAAAGTTACATACCTTTTCAGATCTCATTGTGGGGAAACGATAAAGGCTTCCTGCGCGTCTTTGAGTGTTAAATGAGTACAACACCCCCTCTTTTCTCCCTATTAGGCTACTTTCCCTCTCCGTTAGTTAGTGGGGGGTTGTTTCATACAGCAGGGCACTAAATCTCGACTCCCCTCCACCCCTTTTTCACATGCCCCTCTCTCTCTCCCTCTCACTCCCTCTCTCTCTCTCTCTCTTTTCCTCCCCTCTCTGTCACACACTTTCTCCCTCTCTCTGCCTCCCTTTACTCCCAGGAATCGGGGTCAGATATTTGGTGCCGTTCAGTACCTCTCCTCATTACTGAGCCGATTACCGACATGCCTTCACGCCCGCAATAAAAAAAAAACCAACCCCGTCCAGTCCAACCACCGACAAACCCCCGCCCAGTACAACCAGCTCCCTGCCGTTGGAGACCCACAGTCAGCCTCCCATTCTCTGTCTGCCTCTCTCTCTGTCTCTCTCTCTGTCACTCGGGCAGAATAACAATGAGCCAACGGGACCTCCTCTGAATGGGAGCAGGAGGAGAATAATGACTTGAACTTTTTAAGCCACAGCACAGGCAGGGCCTATCACTGGCCTACATACACCCGGACCATCACCGGGTTCCTGCTTCTCAGAGGAGGAGGAGGGGGAGGAAGAGGTGGAGGAGGAGGCCCCTGCATGGACCCCTTCATCTACTGCAATAAACTGCTGGAAAGATTAAAGGATAGTGTAAGAAATAAAAAGGTACAGCAGAGGAGAGTTTAAGGAGTTTGGGGTCAATTGTTTTTTATACAGAGTGGTGTACTTTTACAATTTTTATGTACTTGAGTATTTTCATTTTATGTCACTTTCTCTTTCTACTCCACTACATTTAGGAGGCCGGCATTGTACTTTAAGCTCTACATTTAACTACATTTACTTAATAACTTTAGTGACTCTGCAAATTCATTAACCTCATCATTAACATAAAATATAAATCAACTAATAAACTATAATATATTATTAAAGGTTAAGCTGCCCAGACTAAAGTAGTTTAAATTAAACATCCTGTATTTTTACTGAAGTTAGATTAAGTAACTAAGTGCATTTACTCAGGTTCTGTTTTTATGTACTTTACCAGGTCCATGAGGGCCTCCAGCACAACTCCCACCACTCTCAGAAAACTTTGACCAGAAGTCAAAAGGATTTTTTAAATTATTACTTTAATTAAGTTCAGTTATACTTTCTGTACATTTTATTTCCAGACATGCGAATTAATTTGGTATTTGTTTCTACAGGAATAAAAATCTAGAAGAAAAATACTGAAACCTTTATTTATTTATTTATTTATTCTAGAAGTAGTCAAACTGTGTTTAAGTGTTTTAAGCAGTTAATTCAAGAGTTTAAACTCCCCACAGTTTGCTAAAACACAGGCTACGTTCACACTGCAGGCACAAGGGACCCAAATGAGATTTCTTTGCTCATCTGAGCCTCTGATATGATATTTTCATTACAGAGTAAACAGCACAAAACACTTTTTCGATTCTGATTTGGGCCACTTTCATATGTGGTCCAAATCAGATAAAGTGAACAAACAAAATCAGAACGTACCCTAATTTACTGAACAAATAATACTTACTTAATACTTACACTCTTCAACACTGTACTTTTTAATTGCACTATATTTATTTGGTAGCTACATTTATACTTATTTACACTTACACTTACTTAACAGTGACATAAAATAGAAATTCAGGTGTCTGACTGAAGCTGTTTTGTGTTGCAGTTGCAGGTTTTTCCCAGGTGGTGGTGATAGTGTGACATCACTTCCTGCAGCGCTTCTCCTGCATGAGGTCGAACAGCCAGTGTGGTGCAACAAGTGCGGACTATAAAGTTACACTACAACAGTAAAACTGAATCAGTAAGACCAAAACAGGCAGGTCGGAAACTCATAAATCACAAACACACGTCATTTATAATGTTTTGAATAAATCCAATAAATTCAGCACAGCAACCATGTGAAGCATCAATCCGTCTATCCTCAGGTGTTACTTTGCAGTCAGACCTTACCTCATCACTGCAGCACATCGCCTCTCTACACAATCAAAACCACTACAGTATTAATGGACATCAAAAACCAGATCAAAGTGTCTTTACTCCGTCGCAGGCCGTGCAGGACCAACATCTCTCCCTTTAAAAGACGAGACGTCACCCTTTTTCCGTGATCAGGGCAGCCTCCAGTTTTCCAGCCAGCCAGCCGAGTGATTTCTGTGGGGTTCTGGGTCACTTGGTTCAGTGTTGAGGGGGAACATTGGAGCGTCTGTGGTCTCGTGTCCTTGGACCTGAGCCGCAAAGCTGTTTGTGTCGGCTCGCTTCCTCAGGGCCTAATTCACACGCACTAAGGAGATTGAAAGACAGGAGAACTCGGCTCAAACTGACCTATTAAACAATAAAAATGACTTAAACACATCTCTCACATCTATCTGAGAGATGTTATCACACTGGGATAACCGGTTGAACACAGGCGGTAAATGACAGCGACATGTCTCTAAAACAGGTCATGTGTTGTCTGAATCGGGATCACTCAGCTGATCTTTATGGGCTGAGTCCAAATGTGTCAAACAGCTCTCCGATTAAAGTCCTGGAGACACAGACAGGTGTCAAAGCTCACGGCAGTGTAGCCACATGTGGGCGAACACTCTCTTGAGACGTAAAATCAAACCAAAACATAACTGAGAAGTATCTAAGTTCTGAAAGTACAAATATTTTATAATACTTACTCTCTTCTGGAGGATCACTGATGAAGTAATTCTATGTGAAATCCATCGTCTCTTATTGATTTCCTTCATTAAACCTAAAAAACAAGTGAGAAGATGTTGGTAAGAGTTAAACACAGATTTTAATAATATAAGAGAACTGAATTGAGTAAAAAAAAAGCTCCAGCGTGATATCATACGTAATAACACTTTGTGACATCATATTCATGATATATATATATATTCATTTGGCATATTAAAGCTAATAATTGACCCCAAAACACAATGTGAGTATTGGGGAAATTGGGAATGAGCACAGAGAAACTTTCCACGTTCGGCAGATGAATGTAAAAACATCCTCCTAGTGTCAAACATACATCATCCTGCAGAGTGAAGCTAAAACATCCAACAAACATGTTTTTTGACTGGAGGGGGTATAGCAACTGATAATGTAATAATGGCCAATAAT